GGTAAAAACCAAGTCTCCAAGGTCGTACATCACGTGCGTACGGTTTTGACCGTTTTTCACGTGTTAAGCCGATTTTATTGGACTCTCTTGGTTTGGGCCTCCTCAGGTCGAGCTTCAGATGCGGATTTGGGCTAGCACACATGCCTTCCTTCATGGTTTGGGCTTTTCCAGTTTTGGGCTCTACTTGGCTCACTTGGATTATTTTTGCACATATTATTTTATTCATTCTTTAGTTGGGCTTTTCTGGATTTTAGACTGGACTTATGTCGATTGCATTTCTTGGCTTAGAACATTTTTTCTTGATCGGATTATCTGACCTTAGGCCTTACCCTTGCGGGGGTTGAGGTTCCGGGAATGATTTTATTCCTAGATCTAAGTGGAATGTTTTGAGCCGGCTTTGTAATTGCACTTAAGTCTATGTTCCAATATCCGATAAGCGCTTCATATTATAGTTCTTTGGTTGTTGCTTACTTTTTATACAAGTGAGGAGCCTGTTCCCGCTTGTTCAGACGTTTGTATTCTTTGATTATTTAATAAAATGCATTTTATTAAAAAAAAATTATTATTTGGGAACATTTTAAAAATGCTCAGAGGTAAAAACAAGGTTTAAAATATTGAAAACCACGGAGTTGGTTCGGGCGCCAAAAACTGAATGCCGAACGCCGAATGCCGAACGTCGAACGCCGACCTAGGTAGTTTAGGTTCCGAGCAAGGACCAGGGATTTTAACAATAAAAAAATCATCAAAAATATTTATTTTGATGCACAAACATATTTTATGATTTGTAAAAATTGTTTTGACTCTTTGAGAACCGAGACTTGAATTTATTGTCGATTTTGATCACAAAAGACCGACTCGACTAAGTCTTCAATTCTTGATCTTGTCCTTGAGTCTTTTTGGTCTTGTTCCAAGCCATTCTTCACGCCTTGAGTTATTCAACGAAACTCTTCATATCCACGGCGGTTTGGAAATTATCAAAACCTGTCAGAAATGAACACGACTTTAGTTTATCGTACAAAGTGTGTTCCAACATGTTCTCTTTTATAATTTATACTTATACATTTTATATTTATATATACATTATATAATATGAATATATAATCATATATTACTAATATATTATATTATTATATATTATATTATAATATATTTCGAAATTCGAATAGATTATGTTATTAATATAACAAATTTATCATATTATAATATTTTAAATTTTTAATATAGTCCAATTTTTTATCAATATAAAAATATATTAAAATATCGAGAGAGTCTGGTAGAAGATCCGTAGATATGGACGTTGTGAACTGGGCATGTTCTAAGAAAGGCAAAGCTAGGCTACCTCTGAAGGTTCGAGCTCACGTGCTTCTCAAGGAAGACACTCTGTCTCTTCCATTCCTACTTCCCCCATCAATTCAACCAGTATCTCATAGGTAGGAATGACGTCAATCTTCAAACACTTGCAGATTTATTTGTGGACGTTGAAGAGGAGGTGGAACCAACACCCGAGAGCAACGATCCTACCGACGACGGCGACGAGGAGAAAGGTGAGCCTGAGACCTCTGAAGGTCCGGGGAAAGGTAAAAAACCTAAATTTGATTTATTTGTACAACATTTTAGTAAAGATACAAAAAATAGCAAAGTTTTTGGAACTTGTCTTCATTGTGGGGTAGTCATAACAATGGCAATTTTCTGGGGGTTATGATGGACCGACCAAACACCTCAGAGCGAGGCACCCCGTGGAGTACGCCAAATACATGGCAAAGAAGGGACAAGTGCATACCCAAATTTCTCGATTTGCAAACAAGTGTAACAGTGGCCTTTTTGCTTATAGCGATGAGAAAAATAAGCAAAAAATGGCCGAAATCATTTGTGAGGAAAACTTACCATACATGTTTTCTTAAAAACTTGAATTTATTGATTATTGTCAAACCGCACTAAACCCTCAAGCAAGAGGTTTTCAAGAAAAACAATTAAGAGAGAAATTATTAGACAATATAAAGTTGAAAAAAATAATTTGGCGAAACTTTTTCTCACTTTTAATTCTTGTGTTACTATTTGTTCTGATATTTGGAGTGAAATATATCATAATTTGTCGTTTATGAGTGTTACTTGTCATTGGATAGATAATGATTTTGATTATGCATAAACGTTTGCATTTTGCGATTTCAATAAACCTCACACTGGTGATAATATTTTTCTTTTGCTTGAGCGTATTCTCCAAGAATACAATTACTTGATAAAGTGTTTGCATTTGGTTTTGATAATGCTACTAATAATACTGCTGCCATTCTTAGACTTAGAGAAATTTGCCTCCTAGCAGCGCCATAGGTAGATTTCTACACCAAAAGTGTACTTGTCATGTTTTAAATTTGTGTGTTCAACATGGATTAGAAGGCATGGAAGTGTTACAGTAAATCTAGGAATAGAAACCAATAACATTTGCTAAAGATATTACGATTAGATAGAATAGTACATATCAGTTGATTGCACAGATTCTGAGCTACAAAGAGGAACTTCATTTCTTAGGTTTGAACTTCATTATACGGTTGATTTTAGTGAATTTATTATTGTTGAAAAATTTAATGCCGTGTTAGAAGTTTTTAATAATGCAACTCTTACTTTCTCGCTTGTTTACAAACCTTGGACAAATAGATTTTTTCAGAGTGTATTACAATTGCAACATATTTTCGTGAAAGCTTATTTGATCTAGAGTTGTACCCTATTTAACACCCAGGCCACCACCCTGGCTGTAAGCGTCTGCTCATAGGATTATAGACTGAGTTTCTAACTGATGAGCTCTCGAAAAGAAGATACACCTTGTTGGTATAAGTAGTACTATCAATCCTTTTAAGCTCTTCCCATTTCCATCTTAATACAAGGTATTACACCCTAAGTCATTCCTATGAAAGATAAATGGTGTGCTTATTAATTGCATATTCCTGATATTTATAAAATTGGTGTTACTTGTGATCCTCGCTTTAAGATTGATAATTTTAAAATTCTGATATAGTATTACTTTAGTTTTTTTAGATGAAAATAATTATTTCTACAATCATTTAATAGAATGGACAAAAGAGAGAGATAATTCTATTGTTCTTTTTGAGTCATTATTTAAAGAATTTCAAGCGATTTACGGTAATGCACAGGATGAAACAACACCTCCTCCGCCCCCAAAGCAAAAAAGGGTTTAAAGGGATAGTCGGTGGCCTCTTGGCAAAAAGAGGTAAGCGTAGTTCTGCCTCGACGAGTTCAGGTGGTACAACAGTAAGTTTGCACAACGAACTTGCTGTGTACTAAGGGGTGCCATGCGATTACGACGAAGACAACGACAGGGACTTTGACGTCCTCGAATAGTGGAAGCGGAATGAACACATGTTTCCGTCTCTCGGAATGCTCACCAGACAAGTCTTATCCATGCCGGTTTTAATCGTAGCTGTGGAACCACAATTTAGTTCTAACGGCAACATTCTAACCGACTACCGAAGTTGTCTTAGCGCTAAATCGCTTGAGACACTTGTTTACATTTGAGTTTGGCTCTTTTCAAGATGTCGAGCTCAAGAGTTAGGGTACGACATTGATAGCAAAATTATATGAATGCAACTACAGAGGGAAGCCCTAGTTCCGAGGAATAAGTGAATAACTATTTTATTTAATTGTAATTAGTTTTTTAGGTGAGTGATATATAAGTTTCTTTGAGGGTTTCTTTATGGTTCATTACCTCGTCACTTTTTTTGAACCGTCAGGATATTAAATGTAGTTATTTTTATATTATTCATTTTTCAATATTTAAATAACAACTACATTTTTAGATATCCTAATTTATAAAAAGTAAAAAGTTATAAATTTCTTTTACTTTTACGTTTACACATTTATAAATTATAAAAGAAAATATTTAAAAAAAATGGAGGCAGAACAAACCGACTGATACAGTGCCGGAACCGTTGGTGCGAGTACTGGCGCTGGTACCGTTAGCACCTGATGGGTCGATATCCAGCAGGTGGCCCAAACATCTTACCTAGAAGGCGCCGGGTAAAGCATGCGGTGAAGGCTTGAATCTAGGCCGGCCCTAGATGCGGGGCCCGAACCAACCTAATTCAAGAGACACCTGGAAGAGCCAATCTACGGGAGGAGACTCATCTGAAAGCGGGGACTTAGCCGGGAAAAGGGGATCGCGCCATTGGCGGATTGTGAATTACCTTAACTATCCAAGAATCCATGTATAAATAGAGGGGACCCGAAAGGGGGATCCTCAAGCTGAATCAAGCTAATAGTACACATATATTTCTTGAGTTCTTGTTCTTATTTTATTTCTTCTGATCCATTCTTCTGAATTTGATCATTTGGTGGATTTATTGTCCATCAAATTGGTGCTCTCGTTGAGAGCTCGAGAATCATACTCAAGAAAAAACTTCCAAGAGAACAATGGTGCAAACCCGTAGCAACACAAACCTGGTCCAGAATTCCCCTCCAGGGCGAGAATAGTGCCACCGGAGGTCGGCACCCTCCCATTAGTGTGACAGAGGTGGAGGCCCTCATCCAGAGGGTCGGGATCACCGTGGAGCAATTCAAGGAAGTGATGGCGGCCCTGACCCTGAACCACGAGGTTGTGGTGGAGGATGCAACCAGGGAACCCGCCGGAGGGAAGGCGGGACCTGTGGGCTCAGGGGGGAAGAAGAAGATGAAGGTCAGGCGGTCCCAAAAGAAGAAAGCGACCAAGCCTAACGGGAAGGCAATCATGGAGGATGAACTATCCAGGTTGGATGAGGAAGATGAGTCGTCATCCTTCGAGCGGGCGTCAGCCTTTGATTGGTTGGGAGATCTTAAACTGAAGAAGCCCTGGACCTCGGCATTTGACTGGCTGCAAGATACTCGGTCGGCTCAGAAGGGCGATCTGAGAGAAAAGCTCAAAGAACAGAGAGGAGAGTCCTCGGCAACGTCCAAAGTCGGCTCAGAGGAGCGAAGTAAGGCGATTGAAGACAAGGAGGCGATCGAGTTATGGAGGATGTATGATCGCCTGGAGAAGCGGTTGGACGCCCAGATTCCGTACTGCCAGGCGGTCTTCAGTGAGGTAACCCCCTTTTCTAGAAGAGTGATGTCGTGTCCTCTCCCACACAACTTTAAGACCCCGCAAATCAAGGCATACAACGGGATGACCGATCCCCAAGACCATCTTGCTCGCTTAGGGGCGAACGTGGTTATGTACGCCTACCCTGAGGAGATTAAATGCCGAAGCTTCCTGGCAATGCTGGAAAGACAAGCCTGCGAGTGGTTCCATAAGTTGCCCAAGGGGTCGATCGACAAGTGGAGCGACTTATCCCACAAGTTTCTGGAGCACTTTGCGTCCAGCCGGAGGTAGAAGCTCCCATTCTCACACTTCCTTAATGTGAAAATCTGGAAGGGGGAGCAACTCCGGGAATTTATCAATAGGTGGGAGAAGGAGGCTAGGGACGTCCAAGGGGTGGACGACCAAGCCCTGATCGCGATGCTCTAAGCGGCACTCCCTCAGGGGGATGTGCGCAAGGATCTACGGCGGAATCCACTCTCCACCTATCAGGGAATGTTGGCCAGGGCGAAGTACCTGGCGTTAGAAGAGAAAGATGACGAGCCGCCCATCTTGAAGGAGAAGAAAAGCGGACAGCCAGTAGGAGAGGGAAGAAAGAGGAAAGATTTTGGTAGGGGACCGAACCCTACAGGGTATCAGGCGAACAGACAGCCTATTCACACGGTGCAGTCCTTACCAGCCCCTCCCCGCAGTCGGGAAAGTTATAGCGTCCAAGACGCGCCCAAGTACTACGAGTATCATCGTAACAACACCCACAATACGTCGGAGTGCGTTACGCTGAAAAAGGAAATGGACCAGCGCCGGGAAACCGAACGTGCATGAGGCCAACGGCCACCGCCGCAGCGATCACTACTAGGGAAGGCAGGAAGACGGAAGGCGACATCTGTGGAGAGATTGTGAAGACCTGGATGAGGAAGAGAGGCAGAACCACCGGCATTTGGGATGTCAGTTCATTATGTGTGGAAATACCGGAGGGGACTCGACGTCCTCAAGAAAGAAGTGGAAGAATATGGTCCACCTGGTCGAGGTGCAGAGGCCACCGCTGCCCACGCGGAAGAAAAAGGAACCCTTGATCTTCACGGATGAAGATTACCCGCCAGTCCTTAGTCCCCATCGGGATGCACTGGTAGTAAAAGTAGAGATCAACAATGTGGTCATCCATCGCACGTTGGTCGATACTGGCAGCTCGGTCAATATTATGTACAACAATACCTTCAAAGAGCTGGGTTCATCTCGGGGGACCTTAAGCGAATCCGCACCCCGGTGTCAGGGTTCACGGGGGATACTATTGAAGTGCAGGGAACCATTACAGTGAAGGCTGGGTTGGAGATGGCACCCACCGACTTTGGCTCGACATGGAATTTACGGTAGTGCAGCTTGATTGTGCACACCATTTAATCATAGGGCGACCGGGTCTGGAGGACTTGGAGTGCGTAATCTCCCCCGTCCACCTGTGTATGAAGTTCGTCACCCCCACCGGGATAGGGATAGCAAGAGGAAATCGGAGTCTGTCCCGGTCGTGCTATGTCAGGGCGACCAAGAGCCAGGCACGGGTCGACGAAAATGTCAGCAAAATCTGTGCCACGATACAAAAGGAAGAAGGGCGACCCAGAGCGGAGCCGACAGAGGAGGTAGAAGAAGTTGCTCTGGACCCAGCCAAGCCAGAGCAAAAGGTGAAGGTAGGTAAAGCCCTGCCACTTAAGCTGAAGGAGCAGTTGGTGGGTGTCCTCCGTTCATTCAAAGTGTTATTTGCCTAGGGTCCAGAGGATATGCATGGGGTCGATCCACGAATCATCTGCCACAGATTGGCGGTAGATCCGGCCCACAAGCTGGTCAAACAGAAGAAGCGTTTCCTCTCCTCGGGAAGGAGAGACTTTATCACTAAGCAAGTGACCACCCTGCAATCCATCGGGCATATCTGGGAAGTCCGCTACCCGGAGTGGCTGGCAAACGTAGTCCTCGCACCCAAGGGGAACACCTGGTGGTGTGCATCGATTATACCGACCTAAACAAGGCTTGCTCGATGGCCACAACAAACGAAGAGAAGACCTCTTTCATCACCCCCAATGGGTTATACTGTTATAAAGTGATGCCCTTCGGCCTGAAAAACGCTGGCGCGACTTATGCACGAATGGTTAATAAGTTGTTCGCACCGGTGCTAGGGGGTGTATGGAGGCATATGTGGATGATATGATTGTCAATTCAAAACAGATGGTATCCCATGCCCAGGATTTAGAGAGGGCGTTCAGAATCATGAAGAGGTACCAACTCCGCCTCAATCCAAAAAAGTGCACGTTTGGGGTTCAAGGGGGCAAATTCCTAGGACATATGGTCAGTCGAAGGGGAATTGAGCCCAACCCTTAGAAGGTGAAGACAATCTTGGATATGGAACCTCCACGAAACGTGAAGGAGGTACAGCAGCTAACAGGGAGGATCGCTGCTCTCAGCCGCTTTTTATCAAAGATAGCTGATCGAGCGGCACCATTCTTTCAAACCATAAAGAAAAGCAGAGGCTTCATCTGGACCGAGGAGTGTGAGAGGTCCTTTGAAGGGTTGAAGTCATATCTCCTCTCGCCGCTAGTACTTTCGGAGCCAGAGCCCGGAGATACCTTGTTTTTATACTTGGGGATCTCTCCTCGGGCTGTGAGCTCAGTACTCGTGATAGAGGAGGAAGGTACGCAACGCCTTGTGTATTATGTTGCTCAAGTGTTACGAGGAGTAGAGCTGCGATATACGAACATGGAGAAAATTATCTTTGCAGTGGTGTGCAAAGTGAAGAAGCTCACCCCCTATTTTCAGGCCCATCCAGTCCACGTGCTGTTTAAGAATCCAATCGGAACCCTCATTCGGAGTCCTAATGCTCCGTCGCGAGTTAGCAAATGGGAGTATTCTTGGGTTCATTCCAGATAGAGTTCAAACCGCGACCAGCGATCAAGGGGCAAGCATTAGCGGATTTCGTGGTGGAATGCACAGCAAGAGAAGTAGAGAAGAGCGGAAAAGAGAAAGAAGGAAATTGGTGTACCATATACACCGATGGATCGTCCGCGGCCGATGCTTCAGGGGGGAGGCGTCGTGGCAATATCGCCAGAGGGATTCGAGGTGTATTACTCCGTAAGATTCCACTTCAAGGTGTCAAACAACGAGGCTGAGTACGAAGCGCTCCTTTGTGGTTTGAGGCTGGCGGCATCCTTGAAAGCTGAGCGGATCGAAGTCAGGTGCGATTCCAAGTTGATAGTAGGCCATGTCACTGGGGAATTTGAAGCGAAGGATGAGCGGATGAAGAAATATAAGGACACCGCATTGGAATTGCTTAAGGCGTTCGGGGCATACCAAATAGAGCAGGTCCCTCGAGAAGAAAATGCTGAGGCAGACATCCTCTCAAAGCTTGGTCCTGATTCCCCAGATCATATCAAGGCTATGACTCAAGAAGAGGAGTTTTTGGAACCAAGCCTCAGTCCCGGACAAGTTTTGGTCATTACACTCAATGAGTCGGACTGGATTGACGAGTTGACCATGTACATCCTTAACAGAGCGATACCGACGGATCCGGTCGCAGCTAGGGTCGTCAAGCGACGTGCAGCTAGCTATACGCTTGAGAGCGGGAGGTTGTATAAGTGATCGTACAATGGTACATTGCTAAGGTGTTTAAGGAGGGACGAAGCGCAGAAGCTGATGGAGGAAATCCATGAGGGAATATGTTCAGCACATGATAAGTCCATTTCGTTCTTATCATTTACATCATAATCTAAACGTTATTGCACGTAAATAGTATTTAATCTTATAAAATGTGATTTCAATGAATAAAACTCTCATTTTCGTTCTAAGAGTCATAAAATGGGATTCCACATGAAATTATCATAAATCATCCATTTTATGTTCAAATACTTGAGAAAAAGGGAATAAATCATCAAGGGATCAAGGTTCGGGCTTGAACGAGCTTCCGGGAGGTCAAAAACAGTGTTCGGGGCCAAAACGGAGCGAAATTGGGCCAAAATCACGAAACAGCCGCGAAGCCCAACGGACCAAGGCCTCCAGGCGTCCAACTTGGACGCTTTGGCTGGATTGCAGCCCAAGAATGACACGTGGCAAAATCTGGTTGGTTGGGACAGCTCAGGCGTCCAGATCTGGACGCTTGGACTTGGACGCTTTGACTTGGACGCCTTGGATTCGTTCCTATAAATACAACACGATTCTTCTCATTTTTACCATCCATTCTCAACCCAATTTCGGGTTCCCCTCTCTCAATTGCTTAAAATACTTTGTATATTAGTTTTAGTAGTAGTTTTAAAGTATTTTCGGAGTTTTGACTCCAGATTCTGTTCCGCTTTTACGGAGATTGTAAGTTTTCTTTATTTAATAAAATGCTATTTTAATTTATGTTTGCATAGTATGAGTTAGGGTCCGGATCTCTGGGTCCGGACTAGTTTGGGTGTTTATTTTTGATGTTAAATTAATGTTGGAATGGTTAATCTATTGTTCTTGCCTTATTTAGTTAATTATTCTCGAAAGATCTAATTAGCTATTTATTGAGAAAATATTGTATGCCAAAAGGCTATAATATTCCAGTACAACGGATTAAGTACGAATCTAGAAATGGATGAGTAGTAATAGAAATATTATTATTCCAATTGTTAATTTAATATGATAAAATAGATCCAAATGATGTCCAGACCCTAGGTCCAGATCTGCGCTTATACTATGTAAAACTTAATTCATTATTTTCACTCTGCTCCTTTTATAATCGTTCCGAGAAGACTTTCATAAACCAATCCTAACCTTCGCCTAGTTGGAGTAATTAAATTAATTCCCTTCGTCCACTCCTCGAGAGATACGACACTCGGAGAGAAAACTAACCCTTTATTGGGATGGTTTACTATCCGAAAAATTACAACTGTCAGCACACCAAGGAGCTTTTACGATGTCGAGGAAGATAACCCTGCAAGAGTACTTTTGGCCGACAATCATGCGTAAGTGTAAGGTGTGCCAAGGGTACGAGGGCGACCAGCAACGAACTACACCGCAATCAGCACAGCAATTCCCTTTGCTAGGTGGAGTATTGATTTGGTCGGCATCTTGCCCAGGGGAGCGGGAAATAACATGTACCTGGTGGTCGCAATCGACTACTTTACCAAGTGGGTCGACGCCGCCCGAGTACCGACCATCACCGAAGAGCAGATGAGGAAATTTGTCTAAACAAATTTTGTGTGTTTGGGAGTGCCCCAACAGATCATCACTGACAATGGAACCTAGTTCGAGGCTAGGTTTTCTGCAGTGTTGGGGCATAAAGCATGGCTATGCCGCGGTCGGGTACCCACAAAATAATGGGCAGGTCGAGAATACTAATCGCACCATTGTGAATGACTTCGAGAATAAGATAATGGAGTGCAAACGTGCGTGGTTGGAAGAATTGCCTTACATTCTGTGGACTTATAGGACCACCCCGAGGAAGGCCACGGGGGAAACGCCATTCGCACTCACGTATGGATTCGAGGCAAGGGCTCTAGCCAAAACCTCACTGCTAAGTTATAGGGTGGAGACGTTTGATGTACATGAGAACGAGGAAAGCTTGAGGGCGGAGTTACATCTCATAGACGAGCGAAGAGAAAGGGCCTACATCCGGGCAGAGAATTACCGCCGACAAGCTAAGTCGTACCATGATCAGAGGGTGCGACCAAGGCATTTCAAGATGGGCGACTAGGTCCTAAGGAAAAGGGAGGTCAGTCGGCCGGCCGACGGTGGGAAGTTTGCAAAAAGCTTTGAAGGGCCATATATCATAAAGGAAGTATTGGCTGATGGAACATTCAAGTTGCAAACCGCGGCGGGAGGCAACGTCTCGCAGGTATGGAATGCTGCCAATCTCATCAAATTTTATCAATAGATTGTACTCCTGCTATATTTCGCCCTAAATAAAACCAGCACTTTGGCACTTCCTGGTCCCATCCCTTCTCGAATTTTATTGTTAAAAAAAGAGCGACCAAAAGAGATCGCTGCGAGAAACTACATGGTGATTCGCACTAAGATGCCTATCAAGGGGTGAGGTGCTGAACCAAGTTAGTGACTAAAATTCAATCAAATATGGCCAGGTGTGTGAGCGCTCGGTGATCAGTGAGTGCTTGACCTAACGGTTGCTAGGGCGACCGGTAGGCTAACGCACTTAAGAAAAGGGGTGATGCCAAGGCGAAAAAGCCTCAGAAACGGCTAAGTCCAGAGCATAAAACCCAATTGTCGCTTGGGCGACCGGGGGGACTTATGAGGAACGCGGCGACGCCGAGAGGGCAAGAAAGCCCCAAGAACGGCTAAGCCAGGAGGAGCAGGGGGTTTTTCTCAACTAAAGGTTGAGGAGACCTGAATGCTTGAAATAAGGTATAAAAGGCAACTTGAAAGGAAGATGGGACTTGTCATAAGCAAAACGAACAGGTAACATCGAAGTCCATTCGTGAAAATATCTATTACACATCAAGAATCACCTTTTGCACCTACATACCCAATACAATTGAGAGCATCTTCCGCACATCTTACATACATTCAAGAGGAAAAACTCAAAATCCGTGCGGCCGAAGCCTGAAAAGGAAGAAAAATACAAGGGAAAAGGCGAGGTGAAGGATAGTTCTGCAGCTAAGCGGGCAGACAGAACCCCGACCACCAGACGCTACGGGCGACCACCTCTCTTCTCTGACATGGAACAGAGATGGTCGCCCCCATTCGTAACCAAAACCCCCCGTCCTTCTCCCTAGAAAGAGGGAAGGAGGGGGACCCTCTTTTCTGTGAGCCCCAATCGGCATCACCTAGATGAGGATGAAGACCCTGAAGTAGCTTGAGCTACTCCTTGTCGTTTAGGATTCTCCTGGGGGGAGAGCGACCAGCAGGGCGTGGTAGGGGAGAACCCAATTCCTCCCCCACCACAACTTCTTCATTAGGCCGCTCCGGCGAATTGGTGTGACTCTCGTTAGTCCACTGTTCTAGACTTGTGAGGTCCTTCATGCTCCAAGAGAGGCAGGTACTCATCTTGCACGCATAATGCCACTTGTGGATTGGACATGGAGCATCCCAGTCTACCTCTCCAGAGGGCAAACGGTTGGCTAAGAGTGCCTTTGACGTTGCGCTAAAGTCATTATAAGGATTTGGTGGAATGGGCGGTGGTTTAACCGAGGGCCATCGTCGGCGAGGCAACCGGCGACAGAATTCGTAAGGGTCTAGCCCACCCCCAGCCATTGGAATTGACGGACTTGGGTGAAGAGGCAGACTCCAGGGAAGAAGGGGAAGGCCCATCGGAAAAATCCCAAGAAGTAGGAATTCCTTCGGACATGGTAAAAAATGAACAAGTGGTGGTCTGAAGGAAAGGTGTGAGATGGAGGAGTTCAACAAAGTATGAGGGGCTTATAAGGAGCCCCGGGTGAAGAAACCGAAGAGATGGTCAAGTCCCAAGACAGCTAAACCGATAAATCCACCTTAAGCCGGGCAATGGTCCAATCAATGGCTGCAAGGAATGCAGTGGATTAGTTAGGCGGCGCGGCGATAGGTCACAAGAGTAGGCCTAGTCATACACGTGGGCCAGGAAAAGAAGTTGGGCCCGGCCTCGAGGCCCATCCACATCAACGGAGTGGGTCAATTTAAAGAAAGGGTACAGTTGCAAAGGCATGCGGCAAGTAAAAATAAAATGACAAACATGGGAACATTGTACCAAAACACCAAGGCATCCAAAAATCATAAGTTTTTACAGATCTAAAGGCAAAAAGTGCAAGGGGAAAGTGGGGTAGATCACACTCCGGAGCTGGTGCCTACGCCCGCCTTGGCCGCCGCCAGACTCACCCCAGGCTCCTGGTCGCCTTGCCCCTCCTAGTCGCCCAACGCAACTGACTCCTCTTCATCATCGGAGGCACTCGAACTCTCCTCATCCAAGTAAGGACTGGGGTCGAACTCAGCGAAGGCGCAGCAGGGAGGGGGAAGACCCAGATCAGGAAGGGAGATTCCCTTGGGAAGCCGAGCTAGCTTGTCGCGGAAAACCAGTTGGGCTCGGAAGAGTCCGCAGTTAAAGGTCTTCTCTGATTCCCTGACCATCCATTGAGCTCCGGGCCCGGTCTTGAGCCACTCAACTACCAGCTTGTCCATCTGCTCCATAGCGACCGCGGTAAACTCGGGGGAAGATTTGAAGGTGGTGGTCCCAAAGTGGTGAGATACAAAGTCTAGAGGGGGGGGTGAATAGACTTTGTTACAAATTTAAAACTTTTTCGTTTCTTTTGAAAACGTGAAAATGAGTGTTAATCTAGAGTTCTTGTGAACTTTAGATTGTGTGCGGAATTTGGTGGGTAGTGTGAGCAGTAATCAATATGGATGGGTTAGTTTTCACAGTTAATATAATTGCAAGTAAGAGTAAAGATAAAAGAGAGAGACACGCAAACTTTAACGAGGTTCGAAGGTGGGGTAATCCTTCTACGTCCTCAAAATCCACTATGTAGTTGGTTGTTGAATAATGAACCAACAATTACACTTGTGTGAATTTCTGCACGATATATCTTCGCAAGGCCAATGTTGCTACTGCACTCGTGCTGGCTATGTTGTTCCTTCGAAGGTCACGCTTCTTCAACAACTGCAAGGTCCGAACAATAGGACTTGCAAGATCAACTTGTAAGAAAGTTGACCTACCCCCTTTCAATCAATAAGTTTGATCAAAAGTTATATCCTTCAACGTGGTGTGGTACTTGAGGCAAGGAAACCTTCAAGTGTTTACAATATAGCTCTTTGGAAGGAGGAGAAGTTTGCTTCTGGATAAGGAGTTTAGAAATCTCTCTTTATCAAGCTTTTTGGGCTAACTGTGAATGAGATAGCTTTGTTGTTAGAGGTTGCTTCGTTGTGTTTGTCTATCTCATCGTATCTTCTCCAGTCTTCCAAGGTTGCTATTTTATAGCTGGATTGGATAATCTATCCGTTAAGTCAAAATAGACTATCCGTTGCATTTGCTGGCTTCAATTTTGAATGAAGATTGTGATTGAGGATTCCTCATTGGAATGGGTGTTTGGACATACCCAATTGTTTGAGGAGGGATTCCTTTTTCCACAGAATCCGTCTTCTAGCTGTTGTTCAAGAATTCTGGACTGTAGCACTTTACTCAATTTGTCTTTTAGTGCTCGTTTAGGAATTCTGGACGAGCTCTTTAATTTGAGAGGTCCAGTCTTTGTCTTCAAGTCAATTGTTCTTGAATCAGCATAATTATCTTCAATCTAGCCGTTGAAAATCAAGAGATTGATTTTTCCTTACCAACGGGTAGAATTTCTTCATTCAAGACTTAGATAATTTTCTAAGTCTTTTCTCACTTGTCTGCTTCTGAGAGTTCCGGTCTTTCTTAGGCATCCGGTTCCTTCGCTGACAAATCCGGAAGAGTCATTCACAGACTTCTGGGTGAGAAAGAGATCCGCGCTAGTCTTCCGATTTGGATGACTTAGCCTTCAGCGGGTTGTAGCGAGACATCCGGTTATCATGTAGTGTTCCGGATTAGAGGATCTTCCATTGCTTTGAGAAATCCTTACTTGTCTCTGACATTTCCGATCAAGATATCCAATTTCCAAATCACTGAATTTGATTGAGTCTTCAAGCATCAAACCACTTAAAGAAATATCACAGTTTTATTGGAAATCTCAAGAACTCGGTTTTAACAATATTTCTAAAAAGAAAAAAATTACATTGAATATTGGGGGAGGCCTAAAGTTCCTATTACAATCTAAATACATCATCATCAAAATCTATAATATTTTTCCCAACAATTTCCCCCTTTTTAATGATGACAAACAAGTGTTTAAGAGTTCCGGTCGCTGTACTAAGAACTAATTTTATAACTTTTTTTTAGTTTCTCATAATATACAGCTTGTTAAAAAAAACTCTTAAACAAATACAATTCAAATTACAATAATTCCTAAACCAAGTCTTGTCTTGAGATTTGTGATATTTTCTGCCATTTGCCGCTTTCACTTCCAGCAGATTTTGCTTGGTAGTACAGATGGCGGTGCGTTTGATAGATCTTTAATATCCAAAGTGGATATTTGAGATCTAGGAACCAACATCTCTCCAAAAAGCAAAAACAAGAAAAAAAAGAAAGTGGAGGGAAAGGAGGCGGCGGTGGAGGAAAAAGAAAAAGATAGAAAGACAAGAAAAAGGTTTTGGAAAAGAGAATTGATTGTGAAAAAGATAAAATAAGGGTTTTTAAAGATAAAATTTTGAAAAAGAGTTTAAAAGAGAAGTATGGTGAAAGGAAAGAAAAATTTTGGAAAAGTAATTTTGAAAAATCCTTGAGAGAATGGAGCAGAGACTGCATAAAAAATTTTTGAAAAATGCTTGTAAGAAGAGTGCGGCGACTGCTCAAAAATTAAAATTTGAAGAACAAAAAAGAGAAAAAGAAAAAATAAAACAAAAATGGAGAGAGTGTTGTTCCATAGAAGGTGTATGGTGTAATCCTGAAAAATACGAGATTATCACCATATACCTTCTCTACTGCCGAGATTTTCACCATAGACCTTGAATGTCTTTTCTTCTCATTAGGCTTTCTCCATTGTTGTCTATGAGGGTGAGAAAGAAAAATTTCTCCATTGAGGATATTTTTCTTGGTGTTTTTCTCAGACAGTGAGTTTGAAGACTTTTCATATTAAAAGATTTGTTTGTGATAGGAATGGATTGGAATGTCTTGATTTAAATAGGAGAGGAGGTAGAGAGAGGGGAGGTTCACGGGTTCCATTAAGTGGGTAGTTGGAACGGTGAGAGTAAAAGAGTTTCAACTTCCAAGAAGTTGAAAAGTAGAAGGAATCTTTTACCAGTTACCAATGTGTTGAAACTGTTCCAATTAAAAATTAGTTTCGTTTGGTTTGAAAAGTGTAACTGTTTTGGTTTGGCTAAGCCCAAAAGAGTGGCCCAAAAAAAATCTATGCACTAAAGGGAAATTATTCCTATTGGGTTCTCAAGGCCCAAAATAAAACTATCATTTTTCATTCCCTATAGTTCTAATTTCTAATTAGGACGAGGTAGTACCCAAAAAAATTGTAATTCATTTTTAAAAGAAAAAGTGGTACTATTTTTCCAAAGTCCTGTACATTATAAAAATCCTAAGGACCAGTAATTTTAGAGCTAGTTGGAAATGAACTAGAGATTAAATCTTAGTTTGAGAAGGCAGATATTGCAGGGTACCTGAATCGGAGATTTCCAACTTTAGTACTTAAATTGAGGTATCCGTCTTCCATTGCTTAGGATTCATCAATAGTTCATTGCCAAAAACAATTGTTAGCCAAAAACAGTTAAGTTCCCCTTGAATTACATTCCCCCTGAATGTATGCGCTAAAAGATAAATCTCAAAAATCATACTTAAAAGTGAACATGATCAAGCATTATAAGCAGGATTAAGAGAAGTATTAAGCAATCTTTAAACCAAAATAAGCAATGTTTAAACAGGAAGGTGTTTTCATCAAAACAAACATAATGTTTTCTCATACTTCCCCCTGGTTTGATGAAGAGAACCTTCACTTCTTCTTGCGCTTTGATGATCCGGCAATCTCACCAATGCCTTGCATATTTCCACACTGTTCTCTGATGCGCCTGAGGTTGTGGTATCTCTCCTTTGTGTGGTCATCATTTGAGAAGTGGGAGACAATGGTTCCTACAGCCTCTGTTCCATCCAGACCTGAGCTAGACAGATGCTATGCTGAGTTCTCCGGATTGTTCCTCTGAGCTTCCAGGATCAAATTCGTCATGTTCAAGTGTGAAGGAATGTAGGTGAGTTCTCCTTCCTTGACTTCAATTGGGAGTTCTGGAATCAAGGATGGACTGTTGTGTTGGACAATTACATCTATCTTGCGATTTCCAGAATGCCCAAAATGCCTGAATAGCCTGAATGCTTCCTTCTGATTGTCAATAATGACCTTCAAGTAGTCTTTGGTTACTACTTGATTTGCTGAAGACACTGCTAGGGCTGATCTAATGTCCATTTGGAGAAGGGACATCTGCTTTTGTAGATTCACTGTGACTGTTGCAATCTGCTCTTTGATTTTGTTAACCTCTTTGAGTTGAAGATAACAGTCACATGCATAAGCCTCCATTGTGGTGCTCACAGAGTTACTCAATAGAGAAATGATCTCTAGAGTCTTGTCCACTGAATTGCTTATCTCTTTGAGATTAGAGCAGTATTTTTCTTCAGATTTCTCCATCAGTATGTTATGCCTAGCTTCCATCTGCTCTATTTCTTGCCTAAAGGAGGCATGCTGAGATGCTAGGGCTGATTCAATCAACCCTTGGACCTTTCTTGTCTAGGTTTCAGGTACCTCATCCGGAAGTGTAGAAGTGGAAGAGCTATGAAAATGGAAGTTGGTTACCTGATGAGAAGAAGGAGCTCTATGGAAGAGTTGCATAGGGAGAGATTCAGCATCTTCTTGCTCAGCTTCTTCATCATCAATCCTTAGTGTCGTCTCTGATTCTTCCTCTGTCTTATCAAACATAAAGTTTGAGATATCCCTAGAGAGGGAATCTCTTTCTTTATCTCCAATGTTTTGCTCAAAGATGGCAGCTGGAGTTTCAGAGGTCTCCAGTCCATCTATTTGAGCTTCCTTTTAAGCTTCTGCAGAACTCCTCTGGATTTCTACAGCTTGGTCTTCTTGGGCTTCATTTACAGTTGTGTTTGGAGGGGTGGACTTCTCAAAATTTCCAAAAGACTTCTCCGGAATCTCAAGTTCAGGCTGATTGGAGACCTCACAAGGAGTTGTGAGAATCTCTAGAACTTGAGATTGGAGGAGTTGATGAGGTTCTTCTTCTGAGGCTTCCTGGTGCTGGTCTCGTTGGGGAGAAGTTGCATTCTCCTGGACAACTTCAGGCAGAACAGTCTCAAAAGCAGGGGAGGTTTCCGGAAAAATTTGGAAATCCTCTGCTGTGGCTTCCATATCTGCCTGTGCTTCAGTGGTAAGAGCCATCTGATCTTCTGTAGCCTTTGAGAAGATTGGCCTGTAGACTGCAGGATTGACAATTGTAGTTTTTCGGGTAGTAAACCTTCCCAATAAAGGGTTAGTTTTCTCTCCGAGTGTCGTATTTCTCGAGGAGTGGACGAAGGGAATTAGTTTAATTTCTCTAACTAGGCGAAGGTTAGGATTGGTTTATGAAAGTCTTCTCGGGACGATTGTAAAAAGGGACAGAGTAAAAATAATAAATTAAGTTTACATAGTATAAGTATAGATCTGGACCTAGGGTCTGGACAACATTTGGATCTATTTTATCATATTAAATTAACAATT